ATCACCAGGAAGCTCCATGTGCTCTGAGAATTTTGCAACAGCTCTGAGCACACAATGTACCTCTTGGCTGTAAGCAGCAGCCCTGAGTAAATTGCACTGAAAATAAAGATACAAATTGCTGCCATCCAGATGAAAACTCATAAGTGAGGCACCAGTCTTGAGGTATTACTCAGCAAAGCACCTACAGCTACAATGTGAGGCCTCAGAAAGCGGATGGAGGGAAAGAAGACAACACACAGGCTACTAAGAAAATGTTAAGACAGGGCAGCATATTACAATAGAGGAATCAGAAACTGCAGGCCTCTCTATATAGAGGAGACCATCTGGGTTCAGCTCTCCAGGAGCTACACAAAACAATAGCAAAAGGCCACTGTCCAAGTTATTGTTGGGCCAAGGTCCTATGAAATATTTATCAATGAAAGTCAGCAGTTGAGAAGAAACCATAAATGGTTTCAGTGCAGTAATATCAAATAATCTGTATGCAGTGACAAGAGACCAGCACACAGATGACTCTGGGCCACAACCATCAGTTGGCCAGAGGGCAGATGCAGCAAAGAATATGGTAGCCAACAGCAAGACAATCACTGACAGAAAGGCCAGAACAGAAGAGAACTAAATTCTTTCCCTGGAGCAGCATGCCAAACAAGGAATGGCAGACTGGTTTAATGACCATCATATTTGAGTGACTATGAGACTTAGAAGGTAGCATACTGGACTGATGGCAAACGCCATATCCCCATAGAGGGTTAGCTATGTGCAGACAACCTCTGGCCCCAGATAATCAAAGACTATCACACGCTCAGCAATACAAATGTCTTTTTTTATCTTTTTTTTTTTAATTTGTTTTTGTTTGGCTTATTACAAGGAAAGGTACAACTACCTGCAGGTTCTCTGCAGGTTGGAACAAGAGTTGTAGGGGAGATGATTTGGAGGAAGCTCCATATGCCTGGGGACACCAGAAAGCTCCATGTACTTGGGGAATTTCACAAGAGTTCGGAGCACACAGTGCACCTCATCCTTGCAAGCAGTGGTACTGCATACAGCGCGCACTTAAAATAATATACATGTTAATGCAGTCCAAATGGAGTCCCTGTATTATTGCACAGATATCTGTGCATGAAACAAGAAGGGACCTCAGGAGGTCATCTGGTTCAACCCTCTGCCTTGTCAAGGTAGAATCATCCCTATCACGCATTCTATAATTTATCCACTGCCCTCTTTCTTAGGGTTTTTATGTAGCACCCATCACTATGTTTTCTAAATACTTGGTTATCTAGAGTAAGTTCAGTTTAATTTGTAATGAACTTCTCCAAGGAATGGCTTATTCATTGTGCTTTGTAATGTGGTAGGCACATCTGTGAACTTCTGTCAATAATTGTAGGAAAAAAAATGGGGCATGTGACCCAAGATTGTACTTAGCAATCTAAGGGCAAAAAACATGAGTTCACATTGATATAATAAGCAAGAAATGTCTATGTTTTGCAGATGTCCTATTGGAAGGAGATGTAAAACTTCAACTTAGTGCATGCACAGAATAAAGCAGAAAAGAACCTGAAATCTCACTTGATCAGAACAAGGAAGTTGCAGGATTCTTTTGGCAAAAGATACAAAGTTGCCTTTGCATCCTTATGACGTTACATTATGAATAATCCAGCTGGTGAAAGAGCATGCAGACAAGAGTGGCTTGTTGGCCCTGACTTTGTAGAAATTACAAACTCCTGTGTTCTATGTACAGTTAATTGTGGTTTGCATAAAGGCAGAGGCAGGGTCCTGAGAGCAACCTAAGGCTCTGACTCATGCATATAAATAATAATACATACATTCATACATGCACACATTTCAGCACTAGGTGGTGGACAGTTTCAAGGGGAATTCAGTCTGCCCTATTTTCACTGGAGCCTGCCACTCAAATCCAGCCTTTCTGTCTTTCTCAGTCTTTAATGCAAGCCTCTTGTTTAACACCTGCCTCCATTCAATTTCTGTCACTGGAGCACTTGTCTGCATATTAGTAACTGTCCACCCATTTCTTTCCCCCAACAGTTTCCATTTCACAGTCTCCCATGGCAGCAGTGGAAGAGGACCTGTACCATGGAGGTACATGGAAGTGATGGAGGTCCTGGGGATCCTGATAAGGATAAAATCCCAAGACTTCAGCTACACCTCCACTGCTAGAAGCTCTTTGTGCCCATCTGGCTGTTTCTCAGGCTCCTGCCTCTTCTGCTGTACCTCCATTCCACCATGTGGATCTTCCCTCACACACCATTTGTGGCAGTGTGGGTGAGTTGAATCAGGTGTGTGACTGCTTGCTGGTGCCATGGCTGCTGGCCTGTTCAGTCATTTTCCTGTAAGAGGTGGATTTCAGGAACCGGGGGTAGGAGTCCTTCTCCATTAAGGTGCGGGTTTTTGCCTGAGCTTCATCAAAGCAAGCAGAGGTAGCACCTGTCAAGTTTTTCCGAGTTAGCTCTCTGGTTTCATGGTCAATATTTACCTGTGAAGAAGGACAGGATACACAAACATGTTAATTTGGTATATCAGCATTCCCAAATGGAGAAGGAAATGATTTTTACATATGTACTATACATTTTATTATTATTTCTTTTCATTCTGGGACATTGCTTGAAGTACAGAAGGTGTCTTTCAAAGTAACTGAATGCATCAGGGATGGGAATTAACTTATTTTCCCATTGTTTGATCAGGGGAAGTCTCTTGACATCACAAAGGCGTGCTAAGCGAATAAAGTACCTATTCATTCACTATAGGTGTCATAAAATGCAGAACTAAGTATAATTCTCACCTCTCTGGGTGCTTCATTTTGAATAAACTCTTCAAAGATCCTGTTCGCCTTGGATGCCAATTTAGATTTTGACCGGGTCTTTTTGTAGTCTTCACAAGCCAGCCAAAACTCCAGGTTCTCCTCACTGAACTCTGTCTTCAGGAAGGTGTAGAATGCAGACAACCCATCTATGGAAGAGGAAGAGAATCAGGTTGAGGGGTGGGAGAAAAGGAAGAAAGGCAACAGCTTTGGAAGACAAGGAAGTCTGCCAGATAGTGAAGTACATCCTGCTTATTAAGCAGCTTAGCACTGCTGAAAAAGTCTCTCTCTGGGAGTTTAGACCACGACATAAAAAAGGTTTCACTTTCGTCTGGACAAATTCCAGCCTTCTAAGATCTTGTTAATTGGCTCCTGGGTTCCAATTAACCACTTTCCCACAGACAAGGATGGAAGGAATATGTAGCATGGTTTATATATTTGGTCTTTCTGTAATATTTCTTCTGAGTATATTTCCTGTGGCTTTGGAAATGCTAGCCAATTCTTCTTATAGACAGATCCTGCCCTCAACAAGTATTTGAGTAGGTCTGAATTGGGGAGTTTCTCTCTCCTTTTTCTTGGCTGAGATCTACAAAGAAAAAGCTACAAAAGACATGCAGAACTGTATGTGCAGCACTGGAACCCAAATTGACAGGGAAGAAATTCTGCTTGATTTTTGCTTGGTTTTTCAGGCAGTTGCTATCCCCTTGGCCTCCTCACTTCCACATACTGCTCTTAGAAAGAGGAAGGATATGATTCCTAAATGTGTAGCTGGCTTCTGTTGAAACCTGTGAATGACGGGATGTTACCTATTACCCTGAATCTAACCCCAAAAGTCAGTCATTTGTCTACTCTCCAGCTCACCGAGTGCATTTGCTCTACATGGTCTAATACAGTAGATACATACTCACTTTTACTCTTCAGCAGCTGGTCAAAAGATTGTTTCCATCCTAGTACTTCTTCTGAGGAGTATCTGGAAAGGAAAAGGAAAGGAAACCATACTTTATTTAAACAAATTCTAATACGTGTCCACCCTGCTCAAATACTCAAGGATAAAGTTCCAGAACAGAGGCCACTGATTGTGGCACTCTGTAGAAAACTAAAGAGACGCAGTACTATCATTACCTGTGGGCTCTTCTCTTTCCTTTCTCTCTTTCTTTCTCCCTGTCTCTCATTTTCCCAGATGACTTGCCAGATCTCAGTTCCATACTGTAGCTATGCCAGTTGTTCTTCTTCTATACAAAGTATACAGAAGAGCCAGCTCCAGTACAAGCTCAGCAGAACTCCTGCTAGCTCGGATAAAGAGAGCTTTTCCGTTCAAGTAGGAAAGGAAAGCTCCTCTTTTTAGTAAGGACTACGTTTTTCTGTGGGTCACAGAGAATACAGCAGCTGGTCTGGGACTCCAATAAGTGGTCAAGCCCACTCTGGTGTCTAGCTGAGGACTGACACAGCACTCTGATCCTGATACCAGGGTTCCTGTTGCCCAGTATGGTTTTAGGACTGATGGAGTAGAGTAATGAATATTGCCTCCAAGCATTTTTTTTAGGGGTGGGGGGCAAGTGGGTTGAGGTCTGTGAGTTCTGCTGATGTATTGACCTTCCTCCCACAGATGAAGAGGAGGGTGTGGAGATGATCCCATCCCAGGGCAGTCCTTTGGGACCTGTACAACTCCTTCATGTTCCCATGCTCTGCTGCTCTCTCTTTCTTAAACCCATCCAGTTACAGTTGGGAGTGATCTAGTTGGCTTACCTCATATTGGTGCCCCACAGAGGCTTGCTGGAGCTCAGCTCATATCCCAGCTCTGTTTTATGAAGCAGGAGCCTTAAGCGAGTCTTGAATTCTTTGGCTCTGAAAAGACAGAAGAGGAGAAGATGCAAATTGAACCAATACAAAAAGGAAACACTGGCCACTAGGTGGCAGAGGTGTGTGCTCATCAAACAAAGGCCAGAGGTTTGGACAAACTCCCTAGCATGACTACAGTATCCTGAAAGAGAGCTACCTCTCACCCTATGCCTGGATGGAGTTAATGGACACACCAGGTGACTGAGGCTGTTGCCATTCCCTTGACCCCAGTGGGGTCACAGCCCTTATATCTTATAGACATCATTTTTTCCCATTGTCATCTCTAGTGGTAGCTATTGCATTACTATTTGTAAATTCAATCTCTCAAAAAACTTTTCTCCCACTTCTACAGCTCTATCCCAGCATCCATCAAAAGCCTTTCCAGA